CTCTTAAGGGGCTTATTTGACAGGAGGAGGCAGTCAGCAAAGAAGAAAAGAAATACAAAAACAAGAAATCCTAAAGTGATAAGTGCCATGGAAAAAACTACAGGTAGTACTGTGAGAAATAGAATTGCACCAAGCGACTAAGTGTGTGAGTGGGAGAGATGCACATGAACAGCTAATGCTCAGGTTAAGTGGTCAGCAAAGACATCTCTGAAAAAGGTGACATGAAATGGAACCAAAATAATACAGTGAGTCAATTTGTGCATGCTAAGAGGAAAGGACCAAAAGTGTTGTATTAGTCTGTTTTCATACTGCTCTAAAAGAACTGCTCAAGACTTGGTAATTCATAAAGGAAAGAGGTTTAATTGACTTACACTTCAGCATGACCCGGGAGGCCTTAGGAAATTTATAATCACGGCGAAGGCCAGGGGGAAGCAAGGCACCTCCTTTACACGGTGGCAGGAAGGAGATGTGCTGACGAAGTTAGGAAGAGTCCCTTACAACACCACCAGATCTCGTGAGAACTCACTTGCTATCACGACAACAGCATTGGGGAAACTGCCGCCATAATCCTTTTACCTCCACCTGGTCTCTCCCTTGACACATGTGGATTATGAGGATTATGGGGATTAATTCATGATGAGATTTGGGTTGGGATGCAAAGCCTAATTATATCAAGTGGGAATGAGTTTGAGACCAAAACATGTCTTGTATGGTAAAGTACTGGACAGGGGGATCACAGACTGAGACGAGATTAGCTCTGGCTGAGAAGAGATCACAGGGTTTGATCAGAAGGTCAACAGATCACAGGGGAATGATCACAAAGTAAACAGACTGATCACAAAATAGCGATCTCCAAGACAAGCAGCATGAAGGAGCCCAAGTGGCAATGGCAAGTGGCAAAAGTTTTCAGTGTAGCATAGTATGAATCCCTTTATATTTAAAAAAAAAAAAAACAACAAAAACCATTATTTTAACTGCTCTAAGAAAAGTGAATTGTAAGAAAGCAAGGAGTAGAGTTTGGAAAGGAATTCATGTAAGGGCAGTCTAATTTAAAGATGAGGACAGAAAAGTTGCAAGTAGTAAAGACAGTGAAAAGAAGGATTCAGGATACATTTTGGAGGCATATTTGACAAAACTTTCTAAAGGAAAACAACACCCAGAGTTTTGGCCCAAGCGGCTTGATGAGGGAGTGATTAACTGACATAGAGAAAACTAAAGGAGAAAGAGAAATATGGGCCCCGGTATTGATTCTGAAGTTCCCGCTTTCAATGTGTTTATTTTAAGATGCTTATTAAACATCCAATGGAGACAAAGGGGAGAGGCTAATGATACAAAGTTGGAATTCATTCGTATATAGTTGGTGTAGAAAGCTATAGACTGGATGAGATCAGCAAAAAGAGCTGGGATGGGGAGCCCAGAGAGATAAACAGGTGGAGGGGGAGTAAACTAGGGAGAGACAAGTCTTGCTCTGAGTATTAGGACCCTGTAATGTTTAGTGGCTGAGGAGGCAAGGACTCAGCAAAATACACTAACAAGAGGTGGCCAGAGAGGTAGAAGGGAAAATGTAAATTTATCTGTTCCATACATAGAACCTTGACAGATAACATTTTGACAATAACAAAATGTAGTACTCTTTCGCACTCTCACATACATCATTGCTATCACAGCAAGTTCACTGACCTACATCACAGAACTACTTGTTTTCTGATTAAAGCTGGGTTAAAGACTGCTTCTCAGGAATAATATCTATAGTTGTTTTGATTTGACAACAAAATCAAGCAACCTCACCTCATAAGCACACTTTCCTGCAGGTTATTAATCACTGTACCCACCTATGGAGCATTGCAACATAATCATGAAGCTCGTCTGCCTGTTTCACCATTGCAACTTCTGGCTTTGGTGTCACAATGCTCCGTAATTCTTTGCTGTTATAATATTCAAGGTCACTCTTAGTGATAAATAAATTAAAGATAAATTTCATGTACTATGTTATTATGGAATTCCACAATCTTGCAAAAGTTCTGTTCTGAATTTTTCATCTTCTTTTCATTTCACAAAAACACCAAACTTTACCATGACTTGCCAATTTATTGTGAATCTTTCTTTAGAAATTCAGATAACAAACAATACTTATTCCAGTTTTTGAGGCACATTAATTTTAGCTCCTCTCTAATATCACTATACATCCTTACTTCATAAAACTCAATTTATTAACTTTCATATTCTCTCTGATCTACCTCCAACTCAAGCAGAAAACAATTATTTTTATGTAAACATCGATATACTCTTGTATTACCTTGTTTTAGTCTTCTACTTGACAGTGAACCTATCACAGGTAGAACTGTGTCTTATTAATCTCTATATTTCTTTTTTGTAGCACAGTGCATACCACAAAGTGCATGGTCAATAACTATTGAGTAAAATAATGAATTAAATAATTGATTAGATTAGTTTAGACTGTTAATTTTTGGTTTGACAAAAATGATAAAGATATCAAACAACTGCTTTATTATATTTTAATATAGACTCAGGAGAAATTTTTGCATTCTTGAGATTCATCAGTCCCTCATGCTTTCTTACTTCATCTTTATTTGGGTATGTAATTTTCATTAGTATGCTAGTATAACAACAAACCATTCTGAGTGACAACTGCTAGTCAATTAACCTATAATATGTTTTCAATTCTCAGGAACTAGCTCTGTGATTGAAATCAATAGTAATATTAAATGGCTGGTTCTCTCTTTTGCTCAATGCAACAAATACTTCTTGTATTTTAACAAAATATATAACCCCTATAATAATGATGGAAAGACATTGCACATTCCATACTATTATTTTTACTAGTCAACTTTACAATTACTTCAACAGTCAATTCATCATTTTTATTCAACTGAACTCAGGTCAAACAGTTAAATATTTAGATCTGATTCTTTTTTCAAGAAAAATTAGAACTGAGTTCGAGAGGTGTGTCTGTCTGATAAGTACAGCAGCAGTCTAAAGGGTACAAAATACTTGACTTTAGGAAATGATGTGTGGGGCATCATGTAATATGTACAGAGAATTGCCTCTGAATATATTGCCAATGTGGCATCCCCAAACAACATGAGTTAGCAATCTATGCCCGTGTAATTTCTTTTAGATAAAGAAGAATGCTGCCTGGTTATAGACCATCAAGACTTTATTCCAGTGGGAAAAGCTACGCCTACAGAATTTTTTTTTTTTTCTGACTTTTTGTGTAAAAGTCACATCAAGCAGAATATATGGACACTACATCTTGAATTTTCTGGTCCTTTGGGTCAGCTGAACGTCTTATGAATTCAATTGAATAAGGTCTCAGGAATTCAAGTTGAATAAGTGACTTGACGAACTGCTAATTGGCAAGTTAATATCAGCGTTGTATAGCTTTGAGGTGAATTAACGTAATTTAAAAAAAAGGAAAGGAAACAAAAAAAACCCAATAATTCCAAGTATTTATCCATGGGTCTCTCTTAGCAATAACAGACATAGGGAGACTTTTAAATTTACTTTTTCCTCTTTATCCTGAGATAATCAACAATTTATTTTCTTTTCAGTATACCTTTTTTATCTATTTTATATGATGTGCTATAACTTCTTTTTTACTTACCTCTTAAGTAGATCTGATTGAGAATAAATATAGCTAAATTCCAAATACCATTCCCTCTTGTTTTACAATTAGAACAAACACATTAAAATGAAGACTTGATTCATGAAACAACACCTAACAAACTGTTATAAAACAGTATAATTACTATAAACTCAAAACTAAAAATAGTTTACTTATTACATTCTTAAAATCGCTATACACTAATATAGAAATTTTATTTAATAGGCACTCAACAACAAAATCAATACTACTCATGGGAATTCATTCAAATAGAGTGTTGTCAAATGCATGACAAATGGAGGTAACTGATTAAAGAAAAACAGTAATTGTAAACATGTTAATATATCTCTACTATTTGACATTATCCAGACATCTTTTATATTTGATTTTAAATAAAACAGATTTATTCTTAAAATCCAATAATTGACTAATCATGGCATCTTTCAGGTTTTATCTAGAATTGGAAAAATTTAGTATCCATATTTAACACAAACAGTAACTAGAGTCTTCTATAGATTAGGGGGTTGAAATGATTGTCCCAGAAGCACCAGAGCATAACGAGCAATAAACACATGTTCTTTTATACGCAGAAAAATACTGAGATCAAAGAAACCCTTACTGACAGCCTTTGATGATGGGAACATAGAAAATTGCAATAAAAAAATTATTGAGCTTGACTATGCATGTTTTCACTTCATTGGGAATTCACAGTTGTTAAAGGTAATGATCCTTCTTATGGTCACATATGGCACAACCAAGATTATGTTATGAATATACTTCTAACGTCATGAATGAATTCTGTGCACCATAAACCAATCTTTAAAACAGGACTATTGGCTTAATATCTGATTTTAAATTATCATATTTTTAATACAATTTTTATTGTTTTTTAATGATTAAAATTAATTTTCTAAAATCGACATATATGAAGAGAAATTATCAAAGTGTAAACTGATTTTGTTAATAAAAAGTGTGAATATTCTAATATGACCTCATTAATTCTGATACCTTGGAAGTTAAATCTTGCAATTTCGAACAAATCACAAATATTTCTTAAAATATTTTTGGAGCCTTAAAAATAAATCATTGCTGAAATTCATGATATTATTATACTTGTTTCCCTATGTGGAATTTAAACATAAAACACAGACTAAAAATATGATCATTTATATGATGATAAATAGTGCTGTGAGCATTAATCACGTTATTCATGGTCATCATTTGATAACTTTAATATTCAAAGAGACCTAATTGTTAATTGCAACTCTTACATATATTTCGAATTACAAATGATATATTGGTCTTGCATGTTTCTTAGAAATGCTGGTATGTGCTGTCCAAATTTCTGAAAACATCATGTTAAGGTGGGGCTGACCTTCTTGGGCATTTCCTGATGTCCTGTTGTCACTGTATGCCTGCAGCTCTGTTTCCCTGTTTCATCATGTGGGGAGGTGGGAGTAGGTAATGGAGCTTCTGTTAAAAAAATTAGAAAACTTTAAAAATTAGTTTATTTACTTTAGACTTTCCAAAAAACACTGGACTGGACATGGTGTAGGAGGTTATGAATGGATGGGGGGCATTCATCATGAAGGAATAGGATATACTGATGGAAATTACACATGGATGGAAGAGAAGAAGAGTGAACATAAGAACACGTCTATGAAGGAAGTGCATGTGAAAGACCACGTATTGTGAGTAAAAACATAAGAACTATGAGTATCGATCAATCAAGTCTTCAAGAATGTTTACTGAGTACCTATTCTTTCTGAGAACAGTATACCACAGCAAATCATTGGATGCTTTCTGTAGGTTAACACTGACTCATCATTCAATATTGTTTTGCTAATGAGGCATATATGGCTCATTTAAGAAATCTGGACTGAGAATCCAATAGCCCAGTGAGTTATTAATATAGCCGAGTTTGCTCAATTATTGACTCACTCTGTTGTTAGCTACTTGTAGAGCACCATGCTGTGTCAGTACTAGGAATGCAGAAATGAGTGAAAAAGTACTCTTCCTCAAGGAGCTCAAAAGAATCAGTTTGGGGTGGGGGTTGAGAAAGGGCACACTATTCTGTTTCTTGCTGCTTCTTATGTTATTGACTTTCTTTATCAACAATAACTTGAATATTTAGTAAAGAAAAGCAAAATTATACATTTGAATAAGCTCAAGGTATTTAACTTCATCATTCATCCACCCATGAATATATTCAATAAACTCTCACTGAGCACTAAGTATGTGCTATGGAACCCTCCTGGTTATTGGGAACATGACAATGAATAAAATGTCCAGAATTCTCACCCACATTTTAATTATATACACATGGATGACAGAAAACACTTGTTAAATTATAACTAAATTATAACATTTGACTGTAAAATACTAATTAAAAATAATAATCTAATGAATAGAGTATGCAGGCACTATTTAATTATTATATAGTATTAATGTTATGGTTAAAACATTTAACAACATCAACAATCAAAAACAAGAACTATCATATTTTCTAATCATATTTCACTTTAAATCTACAATGAATAATCCTGACATTATTAACAAAAATTAGATATTCATAAAATTATAATGCTGAAGTAGAAAAACAGAAAATGGCAAACACTATTTTCTCTATATTAATACTTCAGAAGAAAATGACATATCTCTGTATCCACCTCCACCCTCCCCCAAAAAAAACTTTATCAAAAGAAAAAAAAAGAAAAAGAAATCCATAGAAACCAGCTTAAGGGCGTACAGAAGAGAATATAGCTTTTCCTCTTGAACTCTGTTCTTCATTTCAAGACACTAAAGAATTGTGGTAGAAGTGTGGTTTCTATAGTCAGACTCACTAGCTATGTAATCCCAGGCAAGGTACTTGGTGGCTCTTTCTCTGTACTTCTGTTTTCTTATCTTTGAAAAGAGGGCTAAAAAATGTACAAGCTTCGCAGGGTTAATGTGAGAGTTAACTAAGTTAATATATGTAAATAATTTCACACTTTTAAAATCACATAATAAGTGCTTACAAATGTTTGCTATTTTTTTCTGTTATACAGTCAACAGAACAGGGAAGTAACAATGCCTGTCAGAATTTTTACTGACAGAGGTTCTCAGAGCACTTGAATGAAGAATTCTGAACCAAGAACTTGGGCTTTGTAATTAATCTTCAGTGTCAGATATTCTCCGGGCAATACAGCAGCAGACCAAGCTGGTGCCCATATGTTCCTCCTCACGGCAAAGTGAAAGAGCCAAATTCTGCATGTACTGCCAGAATCCCCCGGCTTCATAATTGCCACTACTTTTTCCATTTTGACAGTATGGATTCTGTTCTGCTGGTTGGCTGAGATTGTCTGGCTATGCACAGTGGAAAAACTATTACCAAATCATTCCAGCCATAACTTGTGAACTTATTCAGCAATAGAACATTCCTGCCAACTACAAGCTGAACAATTCCTTCTTTCGTTCCTCTTGTGTACTTTAGACACAGTCTCAGACAAGGCTAATCAAACCAAAGTGGAAAAGGCTTGAAAATTATCTGGTGAAGGTTTGAAGTAAATCATTAAAGTGTTTTCAATTATCCAAAGTATGATTATCTATACTACAAGGAAAATGTCTAAAGTTTAGGCTTGGCATTGGCCATTGGAAAACAACAGAAAATGATTTGAATTTGTTGGATGGGAAGGTACCAACCCTGAATTCATGACAAATGTGCATTTACATTTCTGGCCTGTGCAGAATGAATCAACATCCCAAATCTGTTTTAAAAACTCCACCCTAAACATTTGCTTATTCTTCCAGTAAGAATATACAAAACAGCCCACAGTATGAGAACAGAACTTGAATAGGTTTTTGAGGAGTCATGATAGGTTTTACATTCAACTTGCCACATTACCTTGTTTCCTTTATGCTCAATGACATATATTTGTAAAACATGTCTCACGTGCAGGGTCACAGTTTGATTACAGAAAAAAAAACATGTTTGTGTATTAAGCCATCAGATTTATCTGGAGATCAAATAAACACCCATAAACTACAAGCTGCAAATATTCACCAATTGAATCTGTGTGTGTGCAAAAGTGCTTTACTAAGGAAAGCTCTGTTCAAATGCTAATCGTTATCCAACTGACTACATTAAAAGTTCCTTCAGGGAATCGATAACCTCTTACTCATCTTTACGACGCCATCTTCTGAGAATCAAAGGAAATTTGTTTATTGGCTAAACACAATGAAAGCTAAGCTCTTAGGCTAAGCAGCAGAGGGCTATTGGATTCTCAGTCCAGATATCTTAAATGAGCCATATATGCCTGGATATAAAAAACTGAAATGCAAGGTTCAGTCTCATTTTCAGTGGCCATCACCTAAACAATGTGTTAGTGCCTTAAAGGAAAAGTATTTAAAAAGTATTAGAATATAAGTATGCTGTTGAAATTGCATAGAAGACCCAAGAAAAGCCTACAATATACATGGTTAAAACTGGATTGAATTATATAATAGATCACATATGTAAACCAATCATATGAATTAAATAAAATTCTAACAATTTTTAATATGTTTTAGTTATTTTTTCTCAAATGGAAGCCTACATGTAAGTTATTTGATAATGTTTTTGTGGGGTTTAAGACATGAATCTTAGTAAGAGGCTTAAGTAATTATTGAAAAAATACAAAGCATAACTTTCTATGACAAAATACTACATAGTAAGATTTTTAAAAATGTAAACAGAAAAAAATAAATTATGAAGCTTTAAATTTTATTTCCACTGAAGTTATTAAAAAGCAATGATAAAATATGATATAAAATCTAGTATTTCTTATTTATAAAATACCAATACTGGTTTGAATTATGTATTCTATGAATATTCAGAAAATCAGCAGTTAAATAACAAACACGACTCTTGTTTTAAAATTCATGCTTAATTGCTAAGTTTCCTTCACTTTACTTAGACACTATAGCCATGCTCCATGTGTAAACTCATGGGCAAATATTTGCATTACAAGTTTTTTCAATTTCTGCTGAACTGCCAATTGTATGCTTTCCTCATAATCTTTAAATAGTATACCGCATGCTTATTTGTCTTTGCCCAATAAGTGTTTTGAGTTACAGAAAATAGCACAGAGTGACTTCTTTATTAATCCATCACATTAGCAAAATAAAAATGTGAGTTCACAGGATTAAAATATGATCATCCCATTTGAGTGCCCAGTCTGAAGGGAATACATGTATTAATACTCATATTAAGAACTTTTACAATTTGTGAAAGTAATATTATATACATATTTCACTAAATAATGCAATAAAAAAGAATTACATTTATTAGCATTTTAGAATACAAACTAGTATATCTTCAAAAAGAATCAAATCAAATAATATATATGTGTATTAGTCTGTTTTCACACTGCTGGTAGAGACATAGCCGAGACTGGAAAGAAAAAGAGGTTTAATTGGACTTACAGTTCTACATGGCAGGGGAGGCCTCAGAACTATGGCAGGACCCAAAAGACACTTCTTGCATGGTGGTGGCAAGAGAAAGCAAGCAAGAAGCAAAAGCAGAAGCCCCTGATAAACCCATCAGATATTGTAATACTTATTTACTATCAAGAGAATAGCATGGGAAAGACCAGCCCCCATGATTCAATTACCTTCCCCTGTCCCTCCCACAACATGGGGGAATTCTGGGAGATACAATTCAAGTTGAGATTTGGTGGACAGAACACAGCCAAACCATATCAGTCCACCCCTGGCCCCTCCAAATCTCATGTCCTCACATTTCAAAACCAATCATGCCTTCCCAATAGTCCACCAAAGTCTTAACTCATTTCAGCATTAGCCCAAAAGTCCACAGTCCCAAGTCTCATCTGAGACAAGGCAAGTCTCTTCTGCCTATGAGCCTGTAAAATCAAAAGCAAGCTAGAAGCAATGTTTCTTCCTAGAAACAGTGGAGGTACAGGTGTTGGGTAAATACAGCCATTCCAAATGGGAGAGATTGGTCAAAACATAGGGGTTAGAGGGCTGTGCAAGTTTGAAATCCAGTGGGGCAAATTTTAAAGCTTCAAAATGATCTCCTTTGACTCCAGATCTCACATTAAGGTCACGCTGATGCAAGAGGTGGGTTCCCATGGTCTCGGGCAGCTCCACTGCTGTGGTTGTGCAGGGTACAGCCTCCCTCTTGGCTGCTTTCACTGGCTGGTGTTGAGTGTCTGTGGCTTTTCCAGGTGCACAGTACAAGCTGTCGGTGGAGCTACCATTCTGGGGTGTGGAGAATGGTGGCCCTCTTCTCACAGCTCCACTAGGCATTGCCCCAGTAGGGACTCTGTGTGGGGGGCTCCAACCCCACATTTTCCTTCTGCACTGCCCTAGCAGAGGTTCTCCATGAGAGTCCTGCCCCTGCAGCAAACTTACCTGGGCATCCAGGCATTTCCATACATCTTCTGAAATCTAGGCAAAGGTTCCTAAACCCCAATTCTTGACTTCTGTGCACTTGC